ACATTAATTGCAGTATTATATTATTTTAACACAATAGCGTTATGGTATCTAGATACAATAGCATTATTGTATTTTGATATAGCGGCATTATGGTTACAGCATTACGGTTACGGCATTACGGCGTTACGGTTACGGCATTACGGTTACAGCATTACGGCTCAAATAAATTACGGAAAATAATACGGCACACGCCATAACCGTATTAATTTGTTAAATGAATTCTACTGCCAACTATATGCACGCGTACTATTAACATCATTATAGAATACACTCGATTTTGATTGGTTAATTTTCGTGTGATTTGAGTTGTGACTCGGAATATTTCGGACTCGCCATTTTCTACCGGAGACTTCCGGAAGCTCATATTCAATTATCATATAAATCAGTCTTTTTATATAAGTGACATGCCTACATGCCACTACGGGTATGCCATGGTGGCATGCCTGTGACTTTCGTGCCACTTACCCTGCCTCATTTCACTTCCGTGAAATCCCGTTCCTGGTAAACTTAACATCAAATTAAGTTTATTATTTGTTAGGCACAGCTCTGCTCAGTGACATATATGATGCGTGAATAAATTTAATTACGGTATGTTTCAAATCACGGCTGAGTCTAGTAAATAATTAAATAAATATACTTAAAACTCCTGGTGTAAGCCTTCTCTTTGTGGTATTTGTATAACAAGAATTAATAATAATCTAATTTGTATATTAATTTAATTCATTACACTGGAGTGAAACTTTAACCAGATAAGTAAGTGAATAATTATTGTCATACTGCTGTGTCACATATTACATGAAGAGTTGTTTTCTTGTAACACGTCGTATATAATGTTGTACGTACGCATTTATTCGCGTGAAAACCTCACTTAATTTTGACATTATATAATACAAATTAATTGACGCTTCCTACATTACACCATAGAAAAAAACGTACATACGTGCGTACCTAAGATGATTGGATTCAAAAAAATTTAGATTGCCATATTTAGATGAGGTTAAAAAAATTTGCCTTCTTAGCATTAATACGTAAAAACTTGGATAAACAAATAGACGCATTATTAATTGATTAGTCGATTAGCATGAAAACTATATCACTCCAATAAATCACATCCCATACAAATATTCATAATAGTTTATTACAAAAATATATATATATATTTTTAAAATTACATGTATTAATCGATTTTCCATTATATAAAAATTCTATTGCTTCGAACATATTAAAAGATTCACCACATTATAATTAAAAGGATCGTTATCCCAAGTGCAACCATTCCTACATTCCCTTTTTCTGATTGTAATTTTTCTGCCCCAGCACCATAAGGTAACAGTGTTGGTATTTGCGGCGTAGCTGCTGGTACAATGACTTGGTCTGAAGGTTTAGAAGGATTATTAGGAGCAACTACTACGGTTTTTGGTGCAGAAGGTACTGGCGCCGGATTAGTTACAGCTGGTGGTGGTACTACATTAGTAGCTGGATTTGTAGCTACTGGGGAAGCTGGCCCTGGAACTGCTGACGGAGGTTGTGCGGCAGGCTGAGATGCTGCTGGTGCTGCTGGTGCTGCTGATGTTGGTGCCGCTGGTGGTGGTCCTGGTGCTGAAACTGGGGGTAATGGTGTTTGAGCTTGAGGTGGCACCGATTGAGCTTGAGGTTCTCGTTTTATTAAGTTGTTGTTGGAAAACTTATAATCTACTTTTACGTTATTATCTAAACTATGTATAGAAGATATTAAAAATGAAATATATATTAAATAAATAATAAAATTATACATATTTTATATTTTAATTGTTGAATTATTATATTTGAATTTTTTGAATTATTATATTTGAATTTTCTGAATTGTTATATTTGAATTTTTTGAATCGAATTGAATTTTCTAAAGGTTTAGTAATATGAAAAAAACCTGGATACTACTCAGGCTTATATATATTAAAGTTTAATAACAAATTAATTAATGCACGCACGTTTATTCCTTACGCATGGACGTGATACATGAGTGTAATATTGCAATAATAAATTATGTTCAACAAATATGTTACATAATTTCATTAAATGTGCTGCATAAAGACCTTAACACAAATAAGAATTGTTTTACCTTAAATCGCTAAACAAACGAAATTATCCTTGTCAGTTTCTATTGGCTAACAATCAAACTATATGCATATGACTGTTTTTAACGCGTAACGATTACTTTCTTATTAAATCCTCCTCACCCTAAGTGATAAAACGGCAGTCAATATTTATCTCTCTCTTTCTCTAATAAAATTATGTAATAAACAGCTCCACCAATAGAATTTTTAATGGGATTGGATTAGTCCAATCTTCAACACATTCTTAAATTAGATTCTACTCCAAATTTAGACGCTTTTTTAACCCATTAAAACTTGGGTTGGATTCAACTCGAAGTGATTTCGGTGTATGCTACTTCATTGATGACCCTAGTTGTCTGGAGCGAAGCGACAGACTCATGCTTCTACGCCCTTTGATGACCAAAATTGCGTCTTTGATACATTTATAATAAAAATATCAAACATGTAGTTTTGGTATTTTCGCCACTGAAATTTTTGATTTACCACATACATAACAAGACTTTTCAGGGGCTGGAGCGAGCTCAAGACTTATACCGGTTTCCGATTCCTAGTCACTAACCTACGTTGTACGTACCCTAAAGTAAAAATTTCAATTTCAAGTTATGTGTGCTTGATCCTGTCCATTACTGACTAATGGAAGCTGTAGAGAGAAAGATATGTATGTAATAATATAATGATCGCATATATCGAATGTACCGGGAAATAAGGATTGGAACCGTTTAACCGTTTAAAAATTGCTCCATAGTTCCGGGCAGAATTATGTTGGTCGTGGGCCGGGGTTATTTTAATGCCGGCCAAATTAAACGGTTAAACGATTAAGAAAAATTTTAGGCGGTTTCAATCTACCGGGAAATATATAATCTGACGTGACGGCATAGGTTTTTCAGCTAGCGATTAAAGCTCCTTTTTATGCGGTAGAGATTCATTAGAATTTATCTTTATATGAGTGTTGCCAAATGAAAACCCGGAAATCTCAAAATATATGGGGTTGAGTCAATAGAAATCAAGCAATTTTTTTTTTTTTTGGTGTTAAATTGACCTCTTTGGTCTTTTGACTTTTTATTAACGACTTTTTTGGTAATGTGATTCAATGAACCATTACAGGAGAGTGTACAATTGGCTACATGTGTAACTTTTCTATATTACTTATTTAAAGAGTTTGCCCAAAGGTTCCTTACCAATTGTTATACTTAATACCCCTGTTTGGGAGAGTAAATTTTTTTGAAACTTTAAGCAAAAATAACTTAACTAAAATTTTATTAAATTTTATAAAATTTTTTTGAAACTTTAAGCAAAAATAACTTAACTAAAACTTTATTAAATTTTATAAAATTTTTTTAAAATAAATGTTATAAATTTGTAGAATTCATTTAAAAAAATTTTTATTAAATTTGATAAGTTTTTATTGAATTATTGTTGTTTAAAGTTTCAAGAAAATTTTAATAAAAATACTTTGTTTGATTTCTATTGATTCACCTTTATATTATTTATGAATTTTATATATTGATATTATAACAAATCCCTATCCCAAAACAGATGATTATGTGATTTAATCATTTCTATACTTATGACCAGTATAGAAATTTAATGTTTTTATGTTCTCAAGAAAATTTATTTTTGAATTTAAAAACATTTGTTATTTTGAATATGTTCTCTATAAAAAAATTTTTAAGAATATATTATTTGATAAATATGTTCTCTATATAGTATAGTATGAATGAAGTTAACAATTAGAAAATAAGTAAATTTTAAAAAATTATAAAAAGAAAATAAATAAACATAAAAGATAAGCAAGTTTGAAACAAAAATTTGAATAAATTATTGATATTATTTGAAAATTTTCAAAAATGACAACAGAGATTTTTGTTATTAAGAACATAAAAATATTTTTAAAAATATTAAATTAAATAATTGTATTTTTATGAGAATATAAAATTTAAAACAAGAATGGTGATCTTAGTGTAGTAGTTGGATTGTTATTCTTCAAGTAGCGGATCTAAGGTTCAAATCTTACCTATAATAAAATTTGAAAATTAATCTATATTATGCCAAACTGTCTCTTAATGATCAATTGGATTTGTATATCTGTAACCTTAAATTGCACTATCTTGAATAGAAGCTTAGAACATTTATACAAAGTATAACATTATATATACATAGAGGAATGTTAATAAACAGTATTGTATAAGACTTTAGTACAAACCCATAATAAGATCACCAAGTACAGTAAACTAAGAAACCAAGAAGTCAGAAACCTACTTAGAAATTCTTGAATAAAAAGATAGCATAAATTTTTGATAGTATGATCAGACTGATGGAAGCTTATAAAACATCCTCAAAGAGATAGACAGATAAACCAAATATCAAGATGTGTAAAGGAGTATATGATCAACTAGAATATCGAAATTATTAGAAGAAAATATATACTATATCAAGCTATCTGAATTAGAAGTTGGATAAGTTCTGCTGATCCTGAGTAGCAGTTAGTAAAGAATAATAGAGAAGATATCATAATGATAAATACTAGAGTTCTAGTGAATTTTACAAAGATAGAAATAGTATAACTTAATAATTAAAAGGTAATCTCTATAATTACAAGTATTAGGTAACTATAGTATGTTGTATAAAACTAGATCAGCTATATGTAAAACATGAAAGGTTCTAGTAAGTTTCTTGTCAATAATAAATTAGTTCTAAAAGTCTCAAAAGCATTAGGTACTTGGATAGGTGTAGCTCAGAAGATGTTCTTATAATTACAAGTCAAATTATATATGCAGAGGGCTTAAATAGACAAGACTGTAGTTGGCTTATAGGTATGATACCTAATGTAGAACCTGTATAGTAATGTATAGATAAACTACTTAAATTAGACACCAAAAGTGTACATGTAGCTAGTTGTAACCTTCTATGTATGAAAGCCTCTAAAGATATCTGTATTCAAATACTTGAATAAAAATATCGATTCCTAAAGATAGAGATTTTATATTAAAAAAATAAATAAATAAATTTTAAAACAGATTTCTAATATTGCTTATGATCAAAAAATAATTACACTATTATTTGAGACTAGTTAAAATTATAAAATTTGTTACAAACTTATATATGAAATAGGATTTGGAACAAAATTTTAGTAATAACCAGTTTAGACCAATAGTTATACTATTTAAATAGCATTATTACTATTGTTTTTTTTTTTAAATATTAAAGTGAGTACTTGTAATCCAGGATTTTATTGATAGTATATTTGGCTAATAAATGCTTTATAATCACAGAAGGTAACTATGGGAAGCATATACATCTAGCCACTCATATAATATTAGTCATTGTCTAATTTAAGTAGTCTGCCCAAAGGTTCTACACTAGCTGACATATCTGGAACTTGCTTGTAGGTTCTCTATTTAACCACTCTGTTTTCATATTCACCTACCTACTTCCACCTATCAATAATCCTGACTGATGCTAGTAAAAATATGTCATAGTCACTAAGTCTTTAAAGCAGTTCACTCATATAGAGAATCTTTGACCTTGTACTAAACCTTTCAGAATCTTCTGTATCCCATTCTTATAGCTGACCTAATATCACTATAGCCAAACCTAACAATGATAGTTAGAGTATACTATTAAACCACTATGCCTTTGTAGAGTTCACCTCAACTCTAATACTGACTTCACAATATATTTTTACTACTTTGGTATTCAATTCAAGTTCTACCAAGCTGCCAAACCAGATAGCCTAAAAAGGCAGGTCAAAACTATACACCTTTGGTTTATATGTTTGCTGGCATGTAACTTTTTTCTCTAAAATCTAGTAATTCTGATAGCCTAGTTGGTTCATCTGGTCCCTTCTCAAAGACTAGCACATTTGCCTAGTTTCACAAGTTCTAGCTCTGTTTCATAGATTTAGTCTTTACAGTAGCATTATCAAAAGTTTAGATTACCTCTCTATTTAGGTCTTTCAAGTAAGCTTTCATCTTTCTTTTTTTTGGTTTCTATAATTTATATGGCTACAAGGATTTATTGTAAGTTTGCACCATCCAGTACCAGTTTGCATTCCTTCATGTAACCACAAACCTTGTCTCAAAAGACAATGTCATGTGAGTGTTACACAAATGCCATGTGATCTGCCAGTCATGCTAGTGCGACATAGATAACAGGTGTCTTATTTCAGCCAATTGTGAGAGATAGTTAACTATAACACAAAGAGGATTTTTAAATTTTCTGTTGATACTAGGATTTGAACTCTAGATCTGCCACTTGGAGGTTGACAACCTGACCACTTCACTAAGTTACCACACATCTGCATTATTACTATTGTTTAAGAGAATCTAAGCAAATTTAATATTTAATTTAACTCTAATAGTAACTAGAATAAAAAGTTATTATAAGTAGATAATATAGTACTATTAGTATAATAGCTTATTTATATATATTAGTAATTTAATAAGAATCAGTTAACTAATTTAATTAAAATCTATTTCTAAATGAGAATTAATTTATTAATAAATTATAAAGATCATTACTAAATAATATTGAATAACAACAGTTCAATTTTAACAAGAGGCAAAAACTTTGTAATCTACAGAAGCATATAAATATATGTAAAACCCTATGGCTAAGTTCATGTGAATAGAAGATCAGTGTATAAGAAAGTTTCAGAAAAAAAGTTTCCCAATATAAAGAGTTGGCACTCAATATAAAAGAAGTGATGAACATATCAGAAATGAAGAGAAGGTGCACTAGCAAGTAATATGCTAATATAAAAGTAAACTACAGAAAAGAAATAGACTTACTGAAATTTGAACACCTCTGGCATTAAAACCAGTTTAGTAGATATGGGTTACATAAGTCAGATCTAAGTGATAATCTTAATACCAGCTTAGTAAGCTTGCATCAAGAATGAATCGAGGGCTATGAATAATCCAATAGGATAGTATTTTGATATAAATAGTAACCAGATAG